GGGTTGAAGCCTATTTGATAACGACGAATAAATAGGATTTGAAAGTTATTTTATAAAGGCGACGCATTATTATTTTTATCTATTTTTTAAGATGAAAAACCGAATTCACGAATGTGTGAACGCACGCGTTCTAATATTTCATTGAAACAGAAAACGATTTAAAGTTCGTACCGTCGATGCATACGAATCGATTAAAATAGTATGAATCGTAATTGATATGTGCTGACCTGGGCCATTGGTAGTTTTAAATCGAATATGAGGATGCTTGTTCGCGCGTAAAAAATGCAGAATATTTCAAATGAAAACTAAAATACTTTCTCCCCGAGTGAAACGTTCTATTTAATTTATATTCAACGTGATACATTCGAATTTTGACGATTTGAATATCGTTCAATGATTGAATTTTTAATCATCCTGGTGATATAATGAATAAGAAAAATAATCATCCGATGGCAGTCTACTTATTTAGCTTTTTCTTTTCGATGCACGCGTTATATAATTGCAAGAATACGAATTAACATATAGTTTGACATTTAAATAGACTGACATTTAAGCGGGCATGTCTGGATCAGGTCTCGGACGAATGCTTCAGAGCGTACCCCGTATTATCTACAGCACAGCAAATCGAGTGGGAATGTTCATCGATATCTCTACGCTCAGCAACAACAGCAACAGCAACAACAACTCCATCATCCTTTGCATCAACATAGACATTCTCATGGTAGCCATCATTCGAGCTCATCGAGACAGGGACATCCGTTAGAAATGGTTGCTTCCAGCGGAAGTATCTTACACGTGAGCTCGATTAGAATATCATAATTGACAAGTACTCTATAACGTCAAATCCAAATCAACTCGATATATTGAAAGATTTAATAATAAAATGGATTATTAAAGTTGTTGTTTTCGCGTGAACAGGGTACAAATAGGGTACACTTTAACGTGGATCAAAATGAAGGCAAATCTAGTACACCAAAAGTAGGAAGACTTACGAAGTCTTTATCCTTCGTGTCCACTTATGGTTTGAAACGTTCAAAAAGTCTGAACGCCGCTGATGCTCTGGCTGCTAAAGCAATTAATATCTCTGATGCTTCAGAATTAGGAAAGTTTCCAGGCCCTGTTCAAGACACCCTTTTAAGAGCCATCGATGGTAAGTGACATCGATGTCTAACTTTAATATTTTAAGAAATATTATCGTTTGGAAAAAGTTTGAGAATATACTCATAAAATTATATCCCTTCAGATCCAAATATATTGAATGCACGTTCGCTTATGGAACTTGTACGACATATATTAGAACGGACCGTTGAAAATCGTCGATATGCGGAACCAGCGGCAAAAATTTGCATTACTATAATAGAGGTATCCATTGGATAAATTCACATTTATTTTAAATAATATTATTTTAAATAAAGAATTTATCGTTTCTATTTACTTACATATTTTGTCATTTAGAAAGAAAGCAACGAGACCTTCTTGGAATCTCTCTTGAACATATGTCAACAATGGTACCAAGATCGTACGAGAATACTTCGAGATGAATCAGGTTGTCACCGTTACTCGGCCTTCATGATGTTCCTCAACGAGATGTACTGTCAGGTGTGGAGAATGTATCTTCTACTGAATTGATTTGTGTCTTCTCGTAGCGACTAACTAAACAAAAAAGCAAATCAAATCTGTGTCTCCTGAATAACTCTTATACAGGTACAAAAAAGCTTCGCATAAAAAAACTCTCGTTGAATTCATAGCATTTATTACCTGCGGCAAGTGATTGTTCCTTGTTTCAATGGCTTACTTACCAACATATTGTGTAACCTTGTTTAACTCAAGAATGTATATGCGAATAATAGGTATGTATTATGTTTATCTATGTAATTATATTGCACTACAGCTGAAACGACGACAACTTCAACTCAAGACGCAGCAAGAAGGTGTACCGCCAGGTCGTGTGCTTCTAACATTACTCTGGAAATGTTGTCAAGATTGCTTGCAACCACCGGTTGTAAATTCTCTCGCCGAGGTAAGAGTCAAGAATCCTCTTTTGTAACGGAACGAAGGTGAAATAAAAATAATTTATCATTTGAAAAGCAACGTATGTGTCTATAAGATATAAAAAAGTATTTTTTTAATTACATCAAATAAAGGAATACGTATATCTATGTATGAACATAACGTGAACATATAACTATGTACATTCATACTAATATCGTTGCTCACCTTCGTTCAGTTCTTCTCAACCTTGACCAAGTAGAATAGTGATCTACTTAACTCGATAATATAACTTTATGATCTTGATATATTACTGGGAATTCTTCATTCACCATAGACGGATTGTCTCTTCTTCATTCTCACCTGTATTGGCAAGGATCTTGATGCTGAATTACCGGCACAACTTCAACAACTACTTGGAAGTCTACGAGACGCCTTTCTAGCCGACGAGACGACTCTCCCATCCGTGAGGAAAACGCTTTTACAATTGATTGAACTCCATGCCGCTCATTGGCAATTACCAGCACCAGCAGTCGTCTATTATTATCCTGGATCGACTTCCAAATGATCTTTGTTCTTTTTTTCGGTCCATCCATCCATCCATCCATCCATCCATCTATCCATCCATACATCTATCCATACATCTATCCATCCATCCATCCATCTATCCATCCATCCATCCATCCATCCATCCATCCATCTATCCATCCATTGGTCTTCACATTACTTTGTGTGTCTGCGTTGTCAGAGCTCGAACTCGCATACGTGCGTTCATTCACGTTTTATTTTTTTCTACTCGATTGAAAAACTTTTCACGGATTGATTCTTTTAACGGACCATTCGATTTCTCTATCTCTATCTCTATCTCTTTCTCTCTCTCTCTTTCTCTCATTTCCTATTCCTCTTTATTTTCTTTTATAAATCACGACGAACGTGTACGATATATACATGTATAGGTACACACACACACACACACACATATACATCATACATATAGCAATCGTGCCATTCGTAAAATAATCCTGTGTTTTCTGATAGGAGCAAAACAATAATATCCTCGCTTCGATGAATCGAAAGGAAGAATGCATTTAAAAGCTTTTTTTTTCTTTGCTTCCTCCTTTCCTTTATCACCCAATGAACTTCTCTTGTGACATGACTTATATGATGCTTATAACATCAATAGCCGTGATCTCGTTTATATAACGAAGTAATAGCTCCCCTACCTGTATATTTTTGCATTTCCATGGATTATAAAAAGCTCGCATCAAAGATTCTTCATTGCAACCGTCGGCGATACGGAATATTGAATATCGAACGTTGAACAGGATATTAAAAATATTCTTTTCATTATAAAGAATTCGTTTGCTAAAGAATAATATCAGAAAATTCTTGCTTTACTTAAGCAAATCATTCACAAAATAAAAAAGAAAAATAAATAGAAGAGAAAAAAATATATATATATATTCAAGAAAACAAACAAAATTAATTGGAGAATAATTTAGACGTAATACAAGCTAATGAAAAATTCATTATTTATTTGCTACTTGAGTGATTGAAAAAAAAAGAAAAAAAAAAAAAAAAAAAAAAAAAAATTAAAGGAAAAAAAAAGAAAAAAAAAATTAAAGAAAAAATCATTGAAGATAACGAATGCAAATATTTCTTTCATTTTGCAAACCATCATACGGTATATTATACGAGTATATTTATTTTACGATAAAACGTTTCTCATAGATTTAGACATATAACAAGAGTTATAACGAAAGAAAATAAGAAGCAATGAGGTGCATTGTAATCTTGTAATTGGATTAAGTAAATCAACATTGAATTGTATATGCGTATATCTAATATTATTTCTTTTTTTTTTTACTCTCTTGAATGATCGTCCAAAGTTTCCTTTTGCTTCCTGGATTGAAATAACTACCGTTATTTTGTCGAATATATAAGGTGAAAGACCTCCGTAATATAAATCGCTAAAAATGTATTCAAGGCACGAAGAGACGTATTCCGACTGGAACGTATGGTCTCAACGAGGGAAGTATACTCGGACGATCTCTACCAAATGTAACCGTCTTTGCCGATTCGTGCCAAGGGCGATAAAAATCGACCGGTAGTCGAGTAGGCGCGATCACTCTTTGTGCGGATTGAGTCATAACACAAGCCTCTGTATATATATATACACACATGCTTTTATATACTTGCATATATGTATAGGTAAATACATTGCACCTGTGATTCTCAGGCAAAAGAATGCGATCGCCAAATATCTCTCATGCGCGTGACGTTGACTATATACGAATATCTATTTAATTAAGAAAAAAGAGAAAAAAAAAAAGAAAAATATGGTTACAATTGTTACTCTTAAAAGTGAACGTTTTCACTGGGAATGATATTAATGTCTACTTAAAAAAAAAAAAAAAAAAAAAAAAGCGAACTTTAGAAAGGATCAGTGCAAATTGAACTTGAGTCATGTCATACAAACTCCAATTATTCGCTTGATTCTGAAAAGTAAACTTTCTCGTCAAGGTTGTAAGATTATGAACGATTAAAAAATAGCAAGGAAACGATATGGATTATTGCGGAAGAAAACTTGCTTATCCGTGAGACATACCATTCGATAGGTTTTCTATTCTACCATATATATAAATATTTATTTAATGTCATAAAACAAAACGAGTTATCCTTATTAAAGATTATGAAAACCATGCGGTTAACTACATCACCATTAAATTTCTTGTAAGTAAAAACTATCTTAGGATATGTGATTGAATATATTACGTTAAATGAAAAATGTATACGATCTCTCAATTTTCATCGTTTCTTTTCTAATTCTCTGAGAGATTTTTCCATATATTTTAATTTACATATAAACTTTCTCGAGCGTCGGGTTATATAGAAAACAGTAAAAAGAAAAGAAAATACTGCTGCGATATTGTCTAGACTGTGTCAAGAAGATGACTCATATGGATCCAGAAGTTAAAAGAGTATCTCACGATGAGGGTCGCTACAAATGTTGTTAAGAGAATCCTTCTTCGTCGAAAGGATCAGAAAGAAAGAAAAAAAAAAAAAGGAAAAAAAAGAGAAAAAAAAAGAGAAAAAAGAAGATGAAACGTTGAAGCACGAGGCTAGTGAGGATCGTCGTGAAGCGACGACCTTGAAACGTACTCGAGGCACAGAGAGACTCGGGAGAGGTTTCGCCTTGGGTAATCGGTGCCGCGGACTTAAAAACTAGGCCTGCGCATATGGTGACGTCACGAACGATGCCGCCTCGGTAAAACGTGCCGACTGGAGAAAGGAATCGCTTGCGAGTAAGAAACTTTGGTGGGGGTCTGCTTTGGTAGAGAGAGGCTTTACGTATAGAACGAACGGGTAGGCTCATTCGTTCTTGTTGAAAGGAAAGAGAGAAGAAGAATATGAGAAGAGAGAAGGAGAAAGACAGTACACCAGTCTGGTGGTGGCTGGTAAGAACGAAGCAAGTAGACCGGCGACTTTCACCGTGCAGCTAAGATCGACTGGTGTCGGTTCGTGGGTTGTTTCTTAACAAACTTGGGCCACGCTCTTAGGCCAAACCACGTTACAAAAATCCAAGAGAAAAAAATTAAAAAAAAGAAAAAAAGAAAAAGAAAAAAAAAAGAAAAAAAAAAACAAAAAGAATAGAGAGAAAGAGAAAAAGAGAAAGATTATAGATTTTCAATATTTTTTTTTTCTTTTTTTTTTTTTTTTTTTTTTTTTTTTTTTTTTTTTTTTTTTTTTTATAAAACATCGTGTTATCTTCATCTTCGTTGTACTACACGCCAAAGTGGAAAAAAAGACTGATTGCTACGGACAAGGATTTTCAAGAACCAGCAGGATTTTTTTCAACTTGATCGGCACGCACGTGATGTTCTCCACTTATTGTGCACCCGCATTGTTAGCTTTCCCAACTTTTTGCTTCACGTTTCTATCTTAAAGCAACTTGTGAGGTGACTCAATTCAATATTTCGAAACGATTTTCTTGATTTTACGTACAAATGTGTCCTTTTACCTGGTAATCCAGTTTGTGGATTCAAAAGAAGTGAAACAAGGAAAATGGATCGTTCCGATTATCATTGAGAAAACGTGAAATTCTCTTCTTTTCTTTTCTTTTCTTTTCTTTCTTTTTCTTTTCTTTTTTTGTTTGTTTTTTTGGGGTCACACAAAGATCCAACATATCCTGGGTTTATCTTTCGTACGAACGAGATATGGCATTAATTTAGATCTACTTGAAGAGAGCTAAGAAAAACAACGATGACAGGGAAACGTCTTTTTTTGGCCCGTTTCTTCAAACGGTTGCGTTTGTTTCTCTGGGCATTCTGGATCGTGTTACTCGTTGAAACCGGTAGGTGCTGGCCGCGCAACAAACTTTCGCTCTTGCCAGACAAACTCGCCTGGCTGAGTTCCGTTTTTATTAAGCTTTCGATTCTAAACATTCATATGTTGCCCCATTAACGATAATTGCGTTACATATTTTATCATTTGTAAACGAATCGCTTATACTTTGTTCCTTAATTTTACGCATAAGTCTTAATAATTAACATACGACCATGTAAGATTTGCGAATTTAAAATATATATATATAAAAAAAACAAAAAAAAAATGATAATTCTTAATGGAAATGCCATTAAAATGTAATAACATTGTTAATCGTTAGTCTTGACATCTTTAGGAGCATTTCACAATGGTGCGGAAAAACAAAGATACGATGGATGGTACAACAACTTGGCTCATCCTAATTGGGGATCGATCGGCAAGTAGTCAAAATATTTATCTAAATAAGTTTTCTCAAGTGTCACTTAATTCAGCCTCTAAATTCCATAGGTAACAGGCTGATACGAAAAGTACCTGCAGCTTATTCCGATGGTGTCTATGCATTGGCTGGTCAAGATAGACCCTCGCCAAGAAAGCTAAGCGATCTCTTTATGCAAGGAGATGAAGGTTTACCATCCGTTAAAAATCTGACTGCTTTGTTTGCTTTTTTCGGTAAAGATTATCTCCGTTCTAAAAATATTGTCCAAACAGAAATTCTAATTCTAAGAGGATCTTTATTTAAACGATAAACGTGTATTTCTAAAATACTTGTTGAGTTTGCACAAAATTATAGCCCGTTATACTAATATATATATATATATATATATATATATATATATATATATATATATATATGAATGGAATACGTAATTCGTAGCCAGAAGCATATATCAGTTTAGGTCCTGTTTAATAAATCCTGTTGTGACTAATCTCGTTCGACTTTCAATCTATAACATTAAGATTTAACAATAAAAATTGAATTTTAGTCTACATAACGAAATCATTTCAGGACAACTAGTCACGTCGGAAATAATCATGGCCAGCGAAAGTGGTTGTCCTATAGAGTTCCATCGTATCGATGTGGATAAATGCGATCCGGTTTTCGACAAGGAGTGCCAAGGTAACAAGTACATTCCTTTTCTACGTGCCGATTACGACCGCCAAACTGGACGTAGCCCGAACAGCCCTCGCGAACAGGTAATTTCCTACTTTTCCGTATCCATTTTGAATTGATGACTTTACTATTCTTAGTTTGCGTGACTTGAAAGGAAACGATTGTCATCTATCTCCAATTATTTTTTTTTTCTTCCTTTTATTTGTTTTTTTTTTCTTTTTTATAAAAGAGAATTTAATCCACAACGTACGCACGTTAGACATAACTTCATTATATTGTAAGAAAATAGAGAAATGTGAATGGCACGGTTTTCTAAAGTATGGATAGAATTACGTTTACTTTATATACATTCATATGAGAATGAAATAGATGACACATTGTTTTACGCGCATGACTGGTGACGATGACGTAAAAGAAAAATATTAGCTCATAAACAATAACATGAAAAATAGCTCTGAATATGTGAGGTTGCAGATAAATAAAGTAACAAGCTGGATCGATGGTAGCTTCATATACTCCAGTAGCGAAGCATGGGCGAACACGATGCGAGCATTCAAGAACGGAAGTCTCCTCATGGAACCAAGCAGAAAATTTCCCGTGAGAAACACCATGCGCGCTCCACTCTTCAATCATGCCGTTCCGCACGTTATGAGAATGCTCAGTCCAGAACGGCTTTATCGTAAGATTACACCTTGTTCTTGCCGTTTACCTTAAATTTCTCTTACAACATAGCTTACTCATAACATCGAAATCTCTTTATCTTCTTCTTTTGCAATATCCAGCCACGAATACGATTCGTATTTGTTCGAAATAATTAAATACATTAGCCGATGTATCATTCTTATCGAGTCATAAGATCGATCATGATCGTTGATATGTAACAACCAAATTTCATTAGGTTCATCATACTCTCATGGTTATTTACGCCATAATAATATTTCATAATCCCATTATCGAGTACGATCTATCTACGAGTGCTCTTTTACTTATCTTGATTTTAATCTTTTACATAGTACTCGGAGATCCAAGAACCAATCAACATCCACCGTTACTCTCATTAGGGATCCTATTTTATCGTTGGCATAACGTTATAGCAAGTCGTGTACAACGAGAATATCCAGATATGTCTGACGAAGAAATCTTTCAGAAAGCACGACGTATAGTTATAGGAACACTACAGGTACAAATCGAGTTTCCATTTTCTTCAAGTATGAGAGATGAATAGACGATTGAATTAAATTTTTCCCTTGTCCTCTTTATCTTAGAACATTATTTTATATGAGTATCTTCCCACGCTCTTGAACGAAGAATTACCAGCGTATACCGGTTATAAAACTGATCTCCATCCAGGAATAAGTCATATTTTTCAAAGTGCTGCTTTTCGTTTTGGACATACTCTTATACCACCTGGTATATACAGACGTGACGAAAGATGTGAGTTTCGAAAGACTAACGCGGGTCAAGCCGCGATCAGACTTTGCTCTACTTGGTGGGATTCGAACGTGAGTATTTGTAATAAATCAAAAAAGTTACTTTGTGCAAAGTATCAAGATCTTTATCGATCTCTTAAACTCGATCATTTCTTTATAGGAAATTTTAGCGAATAGTACGATAGAAGAATTAATCATGGGAATGAGTTCTCAAATAGCCGAAAAGGAGGACAATCTTCTCGGTACAGATATACGAAATAATCTTTTCGGACCAATGGAATTTTCACGAAGAGATCTCGGTGCTCTTAATATCATGCGCGGTCGTGATAATGGATTACCGGATTACAATACCGCCCGAAAACATTTCAAGTTAACGCCAAGGAAAACATGGAACGAGATTAATCCTGACTTATTCAACAAAAATCCATCTCTACTGCGTACTCTCGTTGAAATCCATTCGAACAATTTAAATAACGTAGATGTTTACGTCGGCGGTATGTTGGAATCCAGTGATGGACCCGGGGAACTTTTTACTGCGGTTATTAAAGAACAATTTTTACGCTTGAGAGACTCCGATCGCTTTTGGTTTGAAAATGAAGAGTCTGGGTAAGATCGATATCCGCTTCGAATTCAATCGAATTCCATCATATTCGAGCGTATACATAATAAAGGAAACACTAAACGTATACCTTTTACATAGAATTTTTACGAAAACCGAAATTGAAGATATACGCCGTGTGACGTTATGGGATGTGATCACAAACGCAACCAATATTCCGCCGGACACGATTCAGAAACGAGTATTCCTTTGGGAGGAAAACGATCCGTGTCCTCAACCTTTCCAATTGAACTCATCCGTACTCGAGCCCTGTTTACCGTTACAACGATACGACTATTTCGAAGTAAATCAAATGAAATTATTTTTACAAAATTACTTTTTTATAACGCCAAACAAAATTCTGAAATATCATTTTATTGTCGTAATGTTGTTTTCATTTTGTTTTTTTTCTTTCTTTCTTTCTTTCTTTCTTTCTTTCTTTCTTTCTTTCTTTCTTTCTTTCTTTCTTTCTTTTTTTTTTTCTTTACACAGGGTAGCGAATTCGTCTACATTTATGCCTGCGTTTTCCTCGGATTTTTCCCAATTTTGTGCGCTGGAGCCGCTTATGGCTTAGTAAAACTACAGAACCGACGAAGACGTCGTTTACGTATACTTCAAGAAGAAATTCAAAGGAGAAGCGACAACCGAATTTGTGTCGACAAGATGGTCGTTCGTGAATGGCTGCACGCAAATCATCGTCGCTTGGTAAAAGTTCGTTTCGGTCCTGAAGCAGCTTTGCATATCGTCGATCGAAAGGGCGAAAAACTTCGTACATTCGATTTTAGTGGCGTTAATACAATAACCATAGAAGAGTCTCAGGTAGTTATTTCATTCACTTTAACTTCTTCTTTCCTATATATAATCAATTTTTTTCGTCGATTCTTTTTAACGCATACATAAAAAAAACTTAAAATCTCATACTATTGATATCGAACTTTAATAAATATTTAAGGAGAGCGAAAGCGGGCATAGAAAGGCATTGGTATTGTTACGTATACCACGTGATTACGACCTTGTCCTTGAACTCGATTCCTTGGCCTCGCGCAGAAAGTTCATTGCGAAATTGGAAGCGTTCCTGTCGTCCCACAAGAAACATTGCACGCTTTTCCAAGTTAACCGCGATGTTATGCTCGCAAAAGCGGAAACTAAAGAACGTCGACAAAAGAAGCTCGAACAGGTTGGTAAATTGCTTTGTTCAATTTCAAACAAAATTTCCATCTCTTTCTTTACATTAAACATTTCTAAAAGATTTGTAATAGTTATGAAAACAAAAAGAAAAAGAAAAAAAAAAAAAAAAGAAAAAAGAAAGAAAGCAAAAAATAGAGAAAAATAATTGTATTCGAAAAGAAAAGGAAAAAGAAGAAAAACAAAAGTAAACACTTTAATAGTTTTTCCGAGAAGCTTACGCGCTGACGTTTGGTCTACGACCTGGGGAAAGGCGACGACGATCCGAGGATAGCGATACAGGCGAGGTTATTACAGCGATGCGCACATCTCTGTCAAAAAGCGAATTTGCTAGTGCCCTTGGTATGCGTCCTGATGCAGTTTTCGTGAAGAAAATGTTCAATATCGTCGACAAAGACGGCGACGGTCGCATATCCTTTCAAGAATTTCTCGATACCGTGTTACTCTTTTCCCGTGGCAAAACTGAGGACAAATTGCGTATTATTTTTGACATGTGCGATAAGGACAGCAACGGCGTTATCGATAAAGAGGAATTATCCGAGATGTTAAGATCGCTAGTTGAAATTGCACGTACTACCAGTCTTTCCGATGATCATGTCACCGAACTCATCGACGGAATGTTTCAAGTAATTAAACGTCAATATTTTTTTTTTTTTTTTTTTTACGTTTATACACTTAAAATCAATTTCAAATGAATAAAACCAAATAAATATTTTTTTCATAACACAGGACGCTGGTCTTGAAAGGAAGAATTATCTTACTTACAATGATTTCAAGTTAATGATGAAGGAATACAAAGGTGATTTTGTTGCAATTGGATTGGATTGTAAAGGGGCGAAACAAAATTTTTTAGATATGTCGACAAATGTCGCTCGAATGACAAGCTTTCAGATCGATCAATTGCCACCGGAGGATTCGAAAAATTGGGCCCGCAAACAATGGGACGCGATATCGACTTTTCTCGAGGAAAATAGACAAAATATATTTTATCTTTTCGTGTTTTACGTTATCACTATAGCTCTCTTCGTTGAAAGGTTTATACGTGAGTTTAACAAAAGTTAATGAACCCATGGGAATATTACTGATTAAGAGATAATATTAAAACAAACCTTTCTTTCATAGATTATTCTTTCATGGCCGAGCATACGGATTTGAGACACATTATGGGTGTTGGTATTGCGATAACGCGAGGATCGGCAGCAGCTTTATCATTTTGTTACAGTCTATTACTTCTCACGATGTCTCGTAATCTATTGACCAAATTGAAAGAATTTTCGATCCAACAGTATATACCATTGGATTCGCACATACAATTTCACAAAATAGCCGCATGCACGGCCCTCTTTTTTTCCATTTTACATACGGTCGGACACATCGTGAATTTTTATCACGTATCGACGCAACCGATAGCACATCTCCGCTGCCTCACAAACGAGATCAGTTTTCCAAGCGATGCAAAGCCAACTATTACATTTTGGCTTTTTCAAACGGTGACAGGTTTGTAATGAAAATAGTTATTGAACTTTGCATACTGTTCATGTCCGTATAATATAATTAGATTTTACTATCATCTTTTTTTCTTTTTCTTATTTTCTTTTTTCCTTTTTTTTTTATTTTTATTTTTTTATTTTTATTTTTTAGGCTTAACCGGTATTCTACTTTTCCTCGTAATGACGATCATTTTTGTTTTTGCACATCCTACGATACGGCAAAAAGCATATAAATTCTTTTCGTTAACTCACAGCTTATACGTATTATTTTATGCATTATCCTTGATCCACGGTTTAGCCAGATTAACTGGCTCTCCAAGATTTTGGATTTTCTTCGTTGGCCCGGCGATCATCTATGCTTTGGACAAGGTACATTCTCGTTATTATATATTATACCTGAACGAATTAATAACGCATGTAAATTTTATTCAGGTCGTAAGCTTGAGAACGAAATACATGGCTCTTGATATAATTGAGACAGAATTGCTACCATCCGATGTAATAAAGATCAAATTTTACAGACCTCCAAATCTTAAGTATCTCTCAGGTCAATGGGTACGTCTCTCGTGTACAGTCTTTAGATCGAACGAGTTTCACTCATTCACCCTCACTTCGGCGCCCCACGAGAACTTCCTTTCGTGTCATATTAAAGCCCAAGGTCCATGGACCTGGAAATTACGGAACTACTTTGATCCTTGTAACTATAATCCGGAAGACGAGCACCCTAAAATACGAATCGAGGGACCATTTGGAGGTGGAAATCAAGACTGGTATAAATTCGAAGTGGCAGTTATGGTTGGTGGAGGGATTGGAGTTACTCCGTATGCTTCTATGTTGAATGATCTCGTCTTTGGTACTTCCACCAATAGATATTCCGGAGTTGCCTGTAAAAAGGTACATACAGTTCGTTTGACTAAAACATATGTTTCTCTCTCTCTCTCGCTCTCGGTCTCTCTTTCTCTCTCTCTACAAATCGTTCGACTTCTCTCAACAGGTATACTTTCTTTGGATATGTCCATCTCACAAACACTTTGAGTGGTTCATCGATGTTCTCAGAGACGTCGAAAGGAAAGACGTAACCGATGTTCTCGAAATACATATATTTATAACTCAGTTTTTTCATAAATTCGACTTACGTACTACTATGCTAGTAAGTTTAGAAATTATCATCGTTCAACTTTAATATCGTTTATAAATGGATTTATGTAAAGTCTGACGAACGCAAAATTTCATGTTTCAGTATATTTGTGAGAATCATTTTCAAAGATTATCTAAGAAGAGTATATTCACTGGACTGAAAGCTATTAATCATTTTGGTCGACCAGATATGACCTCGTTTTTAAAGTTTGTTCAAAAGAAACATAGTTACGTGAGTATTATAAAAGTACTTGAGGCTTTGCGTTATTAAAAAAGTCCAAAGTTCAGCGATTCGAAAGCTTTAGTTTTTTCGAAAGTACTTCTAACTATGAGAATGTATTATTGTACTTTATACGAATTACCATTGTAATAACTTTTATTATCTAAAGAGTTCTCGCAGAAGTGAAAGGACGTACGATATGAATTCTTCGATGCAAAAGAACTTTGATATTTTTTATATTTTGCAGGTCAGTAAAATAGGAGTATTTAGTTGTGGACCACGGCCTTTAACTAAAAGCGTAATGTCTGCTTGCGACGAGGTGAACAAGGGTCGTAGACTACCATACTTTATCCATCATTTTGAAAACTTTGGCTAGTTATTGCGAGAAAAGAACCGGAAATTCACTAGGAATTTCTAGCGATTCCTTTGTAACTTCCTAAAAAGAGTGTACATATTTATTGTGCTAGTGCACGTGCCTTATTTATAATTAATATTATATTTCTTATTTATGAAAAGAGATTACTCACGTCATTGAACCATATCCTAATTTTCCAATAATAGGATTCAATGAATAAATATTTTCCCCTTTTAATGGATTACTAATCGGCGATGATAATTAAAAAAAAAAAAAAGAAAAATTAATAAATATACCGATGCGAGTAAAAACCGAATTTAAAAAGTAAGGAATTAGGTATACGTAGCTAGTTTCGAGTTTTATTGAGTGAGTTGCATATATATATATATACTCGTATATATATATGTATATATTAAAATACATTTATTTCTTTTAAAATCAAACGCAAGTATCAAGAGTTCAGCATCCTTCTTGGCGCCGGAGGAAAGGGGTAAGACCAATTGCTCTTACTAGGATCATCATTATTACGTTCCTGTTGAAAGTCAGAGGATTTGTGAGGAGCATAAGTTTTATTTATCACGCCCTGTGTATCCTCTCGATCCGTATTTCTGTTTTGAAGCTTCGACGACAGCTGACTGAAACATTTCATTCTTTATATATCTGCCTAATATTCGTACGAGATAAGAGGATGAATAAAATATAACGAAAGAACAAAACCGATATCGACGTTATAACTTTATAAAAAAAGTTCTATATAAATAGATTAAAAAAAAAAAAAAAAAAAAAGGAAAAGAAAAAAAGAAAAAACCTCATGATACGATCGCCCAAGGAATCCTCAATTTTTGGCAATTTTCTTCTAACATTTCTTGTATCGAAACTCTCCTCGATGATAACATGTCTGTCATAGGGAGTGTCATAATCAACTTCGAGTATGGTTGAAAATTGATGAGGAAATATCAAATCGATCGCTGTCACCACGATTCCAGCGAAAAGACATCCGATACCTATTAAATATCGTCGTAAATGATATATTTTGTATATCCCGTGAAGTGTGAAAAATACGAACGATTTAATCTCTCACCTGCAACCAAAACCAACCAATAATTCCAGCCCATGTCGAAGGCGAGAATCGAACCGTCTATATGAGCAATTAACGGTTCGCAAGGTAGTAAAGCCCAATAAATTAGGTTTGTAGAGAGCATACACAATCCTGTCATGATCATACTGTATGCACCATAACGTGGTACGACCATAAGCAATAAATTCATCATACACCAAGAAGCAAAGGTTGTCCTAGAGAAACAGTTAAATTATCATTGTTTGATATCCTTTTAAAACGTTTCAATCGTAAATAAAATCTCACCAGAGCATTATAGACGCATAGTAACCAGCTTCACGATATTTGCTACCCCAAGAAAATCCTTCCTGATGAAGGCTAAAATATTCCGCTAGGGAAACGATTGGAAAAGGAGCTCCTTGATAGAGCGCTTGTTTGAAAGCACTCGTCATTTCATTAGAACCCCGCCACGAGAATCTCTCATTATACTCGACATCGTCGTTCGTGTGTTCACTGTCTGGTAGGTCTGATGAAGGCAATCAAAGGACAGATTAGCAATTAAAAGAAGGAAGAGAAAGAAAAAAAAAGAGAGAGAGAGAGAGAGAAAGAAGAATGGTTGAAAACGAATGAAATATGTAACTCGTGAAGAAAAAAAGTTTGTACGACACGAGATTCTCTCATTTTAAGACGTCATCGGTATCAAACGTTTTCATTTCCGAGCACGTCCAAATGTAAGAGATTCAGCAACAGCATTTCTAGGATAAACTTTTCAATGTGTAAACGTAGACATGTCGTTCCTTTTAAAGGGGATCAACCAAAAGCTAATACGTTTCGTTCGTACATTTTTCATTTCAATTTTTAAAGAAATTTATCCTTTTGTAAACTTTTTAAACTTTTGTAAACTAACTCCCTTGGAATTTCACTACACTTTCGTCATAATCGTACGAAGTAGCAACAGTCGTTTGATATTGTGACTCACGTTTGTAGGTAATGTTGATATGCATAAGTCCAATGTAACCGCCGATTTGTGCTTTGGTTCTATGCCTGGAGAAAGCACTGTACGAACTAACGATGGTTGCCGAACTGGTGTGCCAAGATGAACCATACTGAGCGACTTTAAGCAAATTAATTTAATTTGAATTTTTTGTAAAAAGTACCACCTTGTATGTTAATCAACAAGGTCGATACTTTGAAAGGAGTATCGTACAGACCTTGAATCGTAGCTCCAACGAAGAGGCTCAGGGTTACAATCAGGAACGTAGTTAGTCTCTGCAAATGTCATTTTGACCAAATTTATATTCTCCACACATCTCATTTTTCTTCTTTTTTTTCTTTTTTTTTTTTTTTTCTTTATTTTTTTTCACTTTCTCTGATAAAAATTAATTCAACTCACTTCCTTTCGTATACCAGGAAATATGACTAGAAAGGCTGTGAATATTGTACCGAAAATAACGAAAACGATAACAAGAGCAACATCGCCAGTGACGGGTGTACGATTACTGTAACTATAGAGAGTCGGTCCCCCATCGTTTCTGAATGCATCGAACCATCCCTTCATCTTTACGAATTTTCACGAAGACCACTGCTGAGCTAGTATTTATTTCCTTTCGAACATTGACAAAAAAAAAATATATATGAATTGACATTAAACGTGAAATCAATCGACTAAATCCAATTAATGCATTGTAAACAACTTACTTTGTGAAATTTCGAACGTCAGCGTCTTTTCGTTAAACTATTTCGCTGTTTTTCCCTGCTTTTGTAATCCGACAAGTTTCACATTGCATCCTACGATCTTCCTCAAGCCATTCAAGGACAGAATGATTCCGGTAACGTGATTATATTCGAAGCGATGGATCCTTTTTATGGTGATACGTGCACCTGCGATAGCTAAACGAAAGACTGAAATATAGAACGTATACTGAAAGACAGCAGTAGGTCAACGGGTTCTCTCGCTTTGAAAGTAATTTCCACCATCGAGCAACGGCCTCGTCGGTGGAGGGACAGAACTTGGGACAGGTGGGGCGTTCTTCGCTTTGCGCCTTGCATGAAAGAGAAAGAGAAAAAGAAAGAGAACAAGAGAGAGAGAGAAAGAAAGAGAGAAAGAGAGAAAGAAAGAGAGAGAGGGAAAAAGAAGAGAAAGGAAAAGAATGAAGAAAAGAGGGAGAGGAATGAAAACGTATGATCGTGTGCGAAGGATTACAGATCAGCTGTGAGAAAGCGCAGAGAATGTATGCCTCGTGCTCATCATGTATTTCACTTTCTTTTGCTCGTTTTCTATGATATTCTATAAATCTTTATGATGATCCATAGGGATTCAGAGATATCGATGCTTGATCGAACAATGTCGATCATGTATGCACATATCATATCGTACCTCTTTTTTTCTATGCCTCATATAATAAAAAAATTGATCTCTGCGTATATTGAAATTTTTTCCAATTGAACATATTGGACATGTTGGATTTTACGATACATCGTTGTTGCAAAATCAATTAAATGGAATATGTTCTCTTAATACCTGGTATCAACTTTGTTAGACTATGGTCTCTATTCGAAATTCTTTTTGATGAAAAAGACAATAGAAGAAGAAGAAGAAGAA